CTCCAACTCCACTGTCATTTCCAGCTTTTGGACAATCTCTCTTGAAATGCCCCACATCATCACATTGGTAGCATGCTTGACCTACTCCAACAATAGGTACGTGGTTAATCAGTTGGGGTGGTATTCTACAAAATTGGGTAGTATGCCCTTTCGTGTTGCAATTACGACACTGCGTTTCTCGGAAATTTCCGTTGTGGTGAATATTGCACTTGTTGCATTTAGGGAGGTTGCCAACATAAGGTTTAGTTGGTGTAGGGTTATTAGGGACAGTAGCAGATACAATAGCAGGTATGGTAGAAGGTACAGTAGCGGCATGGACTGCCACTATTTGTTGCTTCTTTGGAGGTTCCAGAGGAGATTTGCCCTTCCGCTTGTTCCAACCCTTGTTGTTGTTGTTGTTTTCTTTAGGTTGTTATGGGGTAGTAACCACAAAGTTTTGTCGCTTTTCGTGGTCAATAAGTAACTGTGCCAGCTCCTTGTCACTATCAAAGGTGACATGCTTAGAAATAATGACACTTGCCTGTATCTAGGGCAACAGTCCCCAAGTATACCTTTCAATATTTTTGCTCTCCAGAGCAACCATTTCTGGACACAGAATTGCCAAGTCACAGAATCAATTTGTGTAAGTTGTTATGTCTGCACCGCCCATGGTAAGACCCCAGACCTCTTGCTCAAGTTTTTGAATTTCCCTTCGCGGACAGTATTCCCGCATTAACATGGTTTTTAAGTTCTCCCAACTTTGCTACCCTTCGGACATGAGCAAATTTCAAAGAATGTTTCTGTCTTCACAATCTATTGTCTTAAAACCATCACTCCTCCAGGTCCATTAAAGGTCCTGGGTTTGGCGTTCAAGAAGTCTTTATAAGTGCACTCTCGCGAATGCTCATGATTCTCGCCATGGTTAGAAGGATGCACACCAGCTCCCGACCCACTAACACCAGGAGTATTGATATGAGACATGACAGCCGCTACAGCCGCCGTGACCACTGCTTGAAACATAGCAGCGTCGAATTGAGGAGGTGGTGGTGGGTGTGGCGTCGGTGCTTCATTTTTACGTCGTGGATTCCTACGAGGAGGAATCTTGTTCTAATAAAGTTAAAAGATAAAAAGATGATAAGATATCAAGAATGAATATGAATTTGATATCTATGAACTCAATATGAACCTTGTAAATAATTGGAAATAGAAGTTCACTGCAGGTACAACTCGCAACAGGATAATATGAATTTGAGTGGTTATTTTTCAAAGAGTATGAAAATGTATGTTGATTGTATTGGTATATTAAGCATATGTAATCTGGAAAACTTGACCTTAAAGCAGGTCTATAATATACCACAAAGCATCGACATCAAATCGACCTACTGAAAATAAAATTTTCGCGGTCGTATTGAAAATCATGAAAAATAACACTAGGACATATCTGTAGATTTATACTATAACCAAAAATTTGAAATAGGATTGTGTAGGAAAATTGTAATAACGATTGTTGAAGTAAAGTGCTTATTATTTTATTGATACACGGTTTTGTACATATCGTGAAAAGTAGTATATACATTCGATATATTAAAATAGAAAGTAGAAGTAGTGTAAACACTACTTGCGGCGATTATGGCTCCTAGTACTGGCCTGCCTTATGGGATTCAGACTACCTTAAACACCTCTCAAGTGTAGTCTGACGCTCTTGGAGTGCTCTCATTTCAATTTGAGCAACAATCATTTCCACATGGAGCATGTCCGTGTGATGTCTGGTTTCATCATGATCTCTGTCTACATTTTTGGAATCAACATGACCAGAACCTTAATTAGACACTTTTAGAAAATTTATACAATCGGAGGACACAAGAATCGAGGTATACATCACGATATATATATATATATATATATATATATATATATATATATATATATATATATATATATATAATGTATTGTAGTTATTATTGTGAAAAATTTTTATAAGTTGAATAATAACAAAGCCACTGTATAATCACAATGCATATATGCTATATATATTTTTAGTGTCGTATGCGACCTCAAGAGATCCAAATTTGTCGTATAATCACAATGCATATATGCTACATAATTAAAATTATAAAACAACACTATATATATACATATCATGTAACATTTCTAAAGACCAATTAATAGTATATATATGACAAATGTAGACACTTATTATATATATATATATATATATAATTTAATTTTGAACCCCCTGAGTGAAGTGAATAGTATTTTGTTTCTATTGGTGTTTTTTTTTTCTTTTTTGCTTTGGTTTTTTGTTATTTATTGTTTTTATCTTCTATAGTGGCACTACTAGAAACTTAAATTTCAGCGACGGATTTAGAGACGGATAAATCCTGTAGCAAAATTTTACACTTATAGCTAGGGATTTACAACAGATGTGCGATGTTTTAGACATTTCCTTTATTTATTCCACATTTTTCATAGAAGCGAGGGTTTATCGAGGGATCAACTACAGATCTCGTACGTGTATATCGACGCACCTCAATCCTTCGCCAATCGGTCGAAGATGAAGGCATTTCAATGAGGGTTCAGCGACAGAGAGAGAAATTGCCAATATTTTTCATCTGGTACATATTTAGCGAGATAACGTCGACGTAAATTTTATTTGGGGTACATGCATTTTTGTTTTACAATAGCCGATCTCTCCTTGAAATTGGCGCAACACAATACTAGTTTCATGAAATTGTTGTAAGTTTCATTCCCTCCCAAATTTGATTTATCACTCTAGAGTAAGTTTCCTACGCTATGTTAACCTAATATCATCATCTCTTTTCAAACAGATGACAAAACACCTCACCATTGCTGCCTTCTGATTCCGGCAACCTCCATAAAATCTAAAATTTGTTTTCATTAACTTCCGATTCAGGTAAATCTCTTGATTCTCTTTTCTTTAGTCGTATATTAGGTTAAGTTTAGTTCTTGAAGATACTTTCTTATCAAGCAAGGTATTTTAAATGATTATGGTTTTCATCAAAGTTGGTCGTTTGTGATTATGCAACAATTAGGGCTTCTTACTTATATCTCCCCTCTTTTCCCCCCTTTCATTGATGATCTTAATTTTGATACGATACATATGAGAGGCATAAAGTTGTGTTTACATTACTAACTTCCATAACATCTATTGGTACTGCTTAACTGGTATGTTTAGCTTACTTTACTTCAATGTCGAATTGATCCACCTATATTCATAATTTTTTTGGAAGAAATCTCCTGACTACATCTGTATCATACTAAATGTTATAAATAGAATAATTTTGTTCTTGAAATTGAAGAAGAATCCATAAGAATATGAGAATTAGGTTTAAGTATATGGATTTGTGTAAGTTTTTCAACATCAAACACCATAAAATTAACTCAAATTACAGCATGAGATGCTTCTATAATCACTAGATTATGTTTCCCTTAGTTGTGGTGTTCTTTTTTTTTTTCTCTTTATGTCAAATTTAACTTAAATAGGTGAAAATGTTGCAGGCTATACGCTACGCCACCTTCATGAAACAAAAGTTGAACAAAGGCTTGACTCAATCGAAAATGCTGTTAGTAGTTTCCCTTTAACAAAAGTTGAACAAAGGCTTGACTCAATCGAAAATGTTGTTAGTAGTTTCCCTTTCTCATACCTGAAACATAGATACTAGCAATAAAGTTGAAACAATGTTTAGAATATATAAAATATAATAATTAGATTGTGTTTATACGCTTTTTTGTAGATGAATCTCATCTTCTAACCTGACATGTTCCTTCATCTCTTGAATGTTTGTCTCTAATTCAACAGGTTTTGTAGCTCTTTAGCTTTGACTAGCTTTGACTGGTGTTTCTACGCTTCACTCCACTTGTTTCTCAAGTGTTTCTTCTGATTTTTTCTTTTCGGAATCAAGCTTTAAAGGTACATCTTCATTAGATAGAGACATATAACAATAACAAAATACATCTCTAAATCATCAAATATAGAAACATCATACTTTTATAATTAAAAGTTTCAAACTTATAGGAATGTATTAGCTCCAATATCTCTCGAGGTATGATATCCAATTGGCTATGACTTTCACCAGCTAAACATAAGATCAATGATAAATGGACATCCTGATGAGAGCCACAAAAGTGAACTATGAGAATGAGATATTGTTTATTTAACAATAACAATAGCTTTAAGTTGCATTTCTTTCAAACTTTTGGGATCATTGGCTAGATATGCTTTATGTGGTAGCTATATGAGCGGTCTGCAGAACTGAGTGCCAATGTTAATCAGGTAATTTTGTCTTACTGAAATATCATAAATTTAAGATTTTGTAAGAAGCAATTAGTTTTTCAGCATCTTACTTGTTTTCGGGACTTGTGTTCTTAGTTTATTTGAGGAGAACTAATGCATTGCTATAAAATCACTTACCACCAAAGGTATGAAACTGTACAATCACTTTATTCATACCTCATCCACTTTATTCATTCAAAATCTAATGTGTACAACTTGCAGATAGTTGAGGTTTCCAATGTTTTCTTGTAATCATTTCCAAGAATTCCCATGCTAAGTATGAATTTCCATTTCGTTTTTGTAATGCTCTATAGGTGTATGACAAAATGCCTAACAGAAATTGCTCAATCTGTCAATGATGCAACTCTGGTGGCAAATTTCTTTCTATAGACTACACAGACTAGGTTGGGGAGCTTGCCAAAAAACATAACCTAAAGCTTCATATAGACGGACCTCGTATCTTTAATGCATCTGTTGTGAGTTAAAGAAACCCTTTTCAAATTTCAAGCTTCTTCCTCATCTTCCATCCATTCATTTTCAAGATTTTTTTTTCAGGCTCTTGGTGTCTCTGTTCGTAGGATTGTACAAGTTGCTGATTCTGTTTCAGTATGGCCTCACTTCCAATTTCCAAAACCTTTTTCTTATGAATTATGATCGTTATAAAATGGAAACAAGAATCATGTTATAGTTTTTAAAAATTTAATTCATAATATATTGTGTTTCAGATATGCTTGTCGAAGGGCTTGGTGCACCAGTTGGAAGTGTTATTGTTAGGACAAAGAGCTTCATTGACACCGTATATAATATATATATAGTATATCTTGTTATAGTTCTTGAAAGTTGGCTATTTTTTGGTTAACAATTTCTTCTATTGAGTTAAAAGCTTCAATCTTTTTAACATGTAGGCAAGGATTTTGCGAAAAACTTTAGGTGGGGGGATAAGCAGGTGAGAATGAGGGAATCCTATGTGCTGGTGCTCTTGTAGCTTTAAAAGAAAATGTTGGAAAGCTTGGAAATGATCATAAGAATGCCAAGACTTTAGCTTGCAAATGATCACTTTAATCGTTCAAAAAATGTAAGTTTCTGTTTGGAAATTATTACTATATGCTCTTATATAACTGATATGTGTATTGATAGTGGTCTTAAATTGAAATTTGAACACACATGATTGTAGGTGAAACAAGCAATTATTGAAGATGTGAAACAAATAAAATTCTAGCTTATATAACTGCCTTGAAGAAGCTCTGCAATCATCCAAAGGTAAAACATTTTTGGAAGAATCACAACATTATTAGGACACAATTTTTTTCTGATGCATTTCTTTCATATTGTAGCTGATTTATGATACAATGAAAATGTTCTACGGAAGGGAAAACTAAATCATGTCTTATTATGTTGTGTTATTTTGTACATTGTTCTTGATATTTATTTATTTATTTATTTATTAATTTGTTAGATCTGGATCTTGGACCGGTGGATGATGACCTGGTTGAAGTGTTAGGAAAGATGCAAGTCTTGGCCTGTTTGTTGGCCCATCTTTGTAAGAGAACAAATGATCGAATTGTATTGGTTTCAAATTATACTCAGGTATAAATTACAAGTTCTTTAATGTAATTAGGAGTTTAATAAAAGTGATTAAATCTTTAAGTAGCTGTAATTCTTCAGACACCGGACAAAAGTTGCAGGATGGGTCCACATCAATCAACATAATACAAAAGTTGGTCAACTGCTTCAATGATCCATCAAAGGTATTTCATTTTTAATCATTTAATAAGTACATACTCATTTAATGAAAAAATACACATCATTATGTTGCAGGATGAGTTTGCATTTCTTTTCGGCAGCAAAGTTGGTGGTTGTGACCTCAACTTGATAGGTTGAAATAGACTTGTTCTATTTGACTTGATTGGAATCCTGCAAACGACAAACAGGTACTCAGACACTCAACATTGTTTTTCTAGGGACAAAGTCGTCTTTTTTATAACTTTCTTTTCCATGTAGGTTGCTGCAAGAGTTTAGAGGGATGGGCAGAAGAAGAGAGTATACATCTATAGGTTTTTGATATTTGACGTTTTTGGATGTTTTGTTAAAATTTGGTACTTGATTTTGGTATTTTAATATTAGTGTTTGTTTTGGATTGTATAATTATTTGATGTTTTTGGTATTTTATTATTGTTTAGTTTGGGATTGTATAATTATTTGATGTTTTAGTATTTTTTTATTTTAGATTTGTAATAAAAAAAATTAATATTATATATTTGTGAGGGATCAGCTACAGAAACAAAAAAAAAAAAAAAAAAATCACATCTAAATTTTGCTAGGGATCACCGACGGAATATAAAAAGACAGATATAGAGGTTTGCAAGGTATTAACGACAGAAAATAAAAAGACGGATATAGAGCTTTGCAAGGGATTAGCATCATAATATTTATTTAGTTTTGTCGTTGATGTCCTAAAATAACAGTATTAAGAGAACAACTTGCGATGGAAATTCCGTCGCTAAAGTCGTTGCAAAGAAAATCAAGTCCGTCACTAAATTTCTAGCTAAGCCATTAGCCACCTTTGATTTGGCTATGGAGTAAGTCTGTCACAGATCGGTCGCAAAAGACCTCTAGTGACGGAATAGCGACGGATTCATCCGTCGCTAACACCCATGTGTCTAGTAGTGTGGGTGGGATAGTGATTGCCTACTATGTGTCAATGACTGCTACTGTCCAAGTGTTCCGGAAGCCAATAGAAATAAGATTAATGCCCACTGCCACAGCTTGACTTTGTCGGTCCTTCTTCCCTATCTCTCATCGATTACTCATCGGCTTCCATTTCCACCACTTCTCTCAGTTAAGCCGCTACTTCCGACCAACAGTTCTAGAAGCATCCGACCAATCTTCACAACCCAGGCGCAAGCTCTTCGTCCCAGGTTTCACTGCCTCACCGACTGTCATCGACTTCTATTCACCATTGCAGCAGCATAGCCTCCACTACGACCCAGCAAGGCAGCGGTCTTCTCCATCGCCACCATTTCATGGGTTTAGTCTCCCTTCCAGAAAGCAAACGTTGAATGTTTCTAAATTCTGAGTGCTGAAGTTTTCACAAATGGCGATTGTGCAAACGAAACATGACAGTAGGGAATTGGGATCAGGTAGAGTAGATAAGAGGAAGGCGGTCAAAATTGTTGGCTGTGAAATTCCTAAACTACCATACTGATTTCTGAGAGGTTACAAAACCATCATGCTTGCATACTTTTATGTGATTTCCATTGACTTCATCGCCGATCGTCAAAGCATTCATAAAGGTTTCATTTTATTTCTTTGAATTTTGTAATTTTTTTTTTTTTGAAGACTCGTGAATGATCCGCTGAACACAAGAAGGATGGACACAGATCAGTAGAGACTCACAGACATGTTTCTGTGGAGGTATGCCATGTTATCGGTCATCAGGTTAGTAATTAGTTTCATTTGACCTGATTCCCACAAGTGATTCAGATTCTAATGCTACTCAATTACTCATTCAACAATGAACATTCTTTTCCTTTCTAAATGCCTTCAAGGTGTTCGATGACGCCTTTGTTATCACTTTCAGGGACATAACTAGGAGTGAGGTTTAACTAATCCATTTCACATACTCTTATTTATATTTTGTCATTTTGGGTGGGTAAATAATCGGTTTCACATAGTCTTATTTTATTTTTCTTTTTGCAGGTGTCATATTAATGAAATATATGTTCTTGATAGCATAAACTACACCGCTATGTCACCAACAAAGTGTCACCATGCAAGATTGATGAGGTGGAATTTGGTGATTGAAATGTTTTTGAAGTCTTATAGGGTAAAATAGATAAAGTTGAAGAAATTTGAACTTTTATTTCACATCCATTTTTCACTTCTCAAAGGGTAAATATTATACCAAATTTTTTTCTATCAGAATTAATAGATTTAGTTTATCGAAAATTTGGAATTTGGTTTTCAGAACTCTATAGGGTTTGGTTGGAATGGGAATTCAATTCCATTCCAATCCCACGTTGACATATTTAAATTCCTTATTTTCTTTATTAGTTTTTGTGATGCCAGGCTAGAAAATCTGGAATTAATGTCAAAATATGGAGCTGATGTGTGGAAACAACACAATTAAAAGACTTTCAGCATTTTTACCAAGGTCAGTGTAATCAATCTCCTTCCCTTTTGATAAAAAGAGTTGATTTGTTTCTACTTCTCTAATAAATTTAATTTTTTTTATCGACTTTGTATTTATATTGCTTTAAAAATAATTAATTTGATGGTTCGGTTTGAACCTCGATAATTGGTTTTAAAATTGTAAATCCTTGATTCTTTATTTTATGTGATTATTTTCAAGAATGTTTTGTTAATGTTACAAGGAAATTTATGTTTTATGATTTTCTCAAATCACAATAATTATCATGCCGCGATACTTAAAGCCTTACATTGTTTTTGGAAATAATGGCAATATGGTCATTGTCTGAATTACCCTTCTATTGATTTTGTAATATCTTGCTTGGTTTATATATAGATAAAATTTAAAAAATTATTTTTAGCGAGTGATTAACAATTAATGTTCAAAAGACGTGAATGTCCTCTTGATCTACATCATTAAAAAAACGACTTCAACAAACATTTGGGTTAGTTGATGGAATTCAATTCCATTTCTTCACCCTTTGCATATGAAGGAATGGAGTTTTATAAAACTTTAACACCGAGGGTATTTACGTCTTTTTGATACACGACATGAATGCAAGCACAAGAAGCTGAGTTAAACGAAAAGATAGAAATCATTAATCAAGAAAGAAAATATCATCAGCTAACTTTATTTTTACTAAATATAGCAACAATTAATCTGATTTTTATCGAACATATTTTATTAATTTCACATATACTTTATATATGTATATATATACTTTTTTAAACAATAAAATACCGCATATAAGCTTAATGCTTTCTCAATACAAGGAAAGGAGCTTTGTTATAAAAACATAGCAATTGAAGTTGCATGTGTCAATATTGAAACCAACTTTGAAGAATTAAAAGCAGAAGGTGCAAAAAATATCAAATTTCTTACTTTTTCATTTATAAATTAAAAATTCTTTTGGTAATTTAAACTAAATGCATGTTTTTTTAATGTAGAGTCTGGAATCTTAATGTTAATATGGAAAACGGCTCTTCTTAAAGAAAGTGTTGTTTGGCCGGATTCTAATATTGATGTATGTGTGTGTGCTTCATTTCTATGCAGGTGTATGAATACATAAACTATGTGGAAATTGAGGGGGAGGTTGCACATGGGTTATAAGGTTTCTTTAAAAATAAAATTCGCATGCCTTCTTAATTGGACACTAAATGCAATATAAGGTCTAAATTACCTTTTGGCAGATTTACTTTCTTTCCCGCTTTCGACTGGGTTCAAAACGATGATGGAAGCGAAAAGATCACACTGAAAAAAACCCGAATCTAAGTTAAGTATGTTGCAGAGAAAAAGTAACTGTATCATCAGATTTTCCCCTATTCATTTTTTAGAGTTCAAACTTCAAATGTTTACTATTTAGTTTTCACTAAAACTTATATTATAATCTTATTTGAGGTTATTAGATCAAAATGATGCAATACCTGGTTGAATTACAGACACTAGTTACTAACCTGTCTTTATGCTTTTATTTCAGGTTGACATTTTTTCTTCACATACATACACTATTGTTATATAACTAGATTATAACCCGTGTTAAACGCGGGGAACGTATAAAGAAAATATAATTGTATATAGATATTGCAAAATAATTATAAGAAAATCAATGTTATTGGTATTATTGAAATATGTAGAAAATATACTGAAGTTGGTAAATATATAGTCGTTGAAGGACCTCTTCATAGACAAAAAATTTTGTTTTATTAGTTGAACGACATTGCTCATCACAAAGTATCTTCAAACATTTTTTACCTGTGACATGGAAAACAATTATATATAGCTAACCATGCACATAAATGGGTCTACGAAAGTATAATCTAACATTGACAATGTACTTTCAAAATGCATTGTTCTTTCATGGTTATATTGCAAAATAGAATTGTTTATTTCAAAAAATAACAACTTATTTATATTTATTCGAAAGGAATCACATAAGCCCCCGACAATATTAAATTAAAGAAACTCTAACAAATAAATATAAAAACAGTTATGCTTGCTCGATTTAGATATTGCCCGTGACTTATTGAAAATGCCAAAATACATAATTGACACACAACTTACTTGTTATTATGAAACGAATTAAACAATTTAAACTTGTGATGATATCTTTTTTTATTTTATGATAATGATAAAATAATGGAAAAATGAATGCTTACTTCAAGACATATGAGAACATTTGAGTAAGGTCGATGGTCTTAACTGCTGAGTATTTATATCTTTTACATATAGCTATTAAATGGTTATACAAGATGAATTAAAAGTTCATTGCTATTTCTTACCAATTCAGAAGTATATTTCGATCATTTTTGTATAAGATAAAAAACATATAGGTTCTTTTAGTATCACTACAATCCTACTTTCATATAAAATTACTTTTTTCACATGAGACCAAACTCGGTGTTTTTCTAGCATTATTATAATCCTATATTATACATTCTTGATAGTTTTGAAAAGTTCGTTGCAATTTCTCATTTTTTTTGAAATCGTTGTTATTTCTTGTTGCTTTTAGAAATAAGTTTTAGACTACTTTTTTGTATCGGACCAAATTTGAAGGTTATTTTTGCATTATTACCATCGTATATGTTCCATTTCATTTTTACTATTTGAATATAGTTTTTGTAGTTCAAAAACGATACAAATATAAAAATACTAACTATATATTAACCGACTATTTGTAATGTATAATTAAAAATCATGACACCATAATCATAATTTATTGATGTTAGTTAAAATGTAATTTATTTGGGAATGAGGTTAGTTTTTGGTTATTTATTTCGGAAATATAATATGTATTCTGCATTAGAAGTGCTTACCTATTAAATTTAACATTTGTTAATTAGATTTTTATTTTGGCTTGACATAGCCATGATCGTCCCATATTTAATACCTTGCACCTTTACTACCTTCTTACTTGGATTCATTAAATCAAGATTTAACATTTTTTTTTAAAACATAGACAAGAAACTATTGAGTTACTATTAAACTCAATGGATATGCTAAAAGATATATGCGACTTGCTTTTTGTGAGATCAATAATACCGTAGTGGACAACTTTCTGCAAAATAATTTAAGAACCGAAGAAAACCTGATTGCCCAAATATATAATATCATTATTTAAGTCATAACCTGTATATGCCGACAAAATTGAAAATTTTAGCCAAAACTATGTTACATGCCATCAAAGATGAAAAAAGATCCTTTAAAGTTAGATGAGGGTATTAATTTAAAAAATCATCTTTCATTTTTTGTTGGATGTATTTTTTAAACATAATCTATAAAAACCACCATAGCCAAATCATAGATCGCTTAATCAAGAAAATAGAATACCACAGTAATAAATGGTAAGCCAGTTAGAACATCTTTTTCTAAAAGATCAAGAAATTGACAATTTATTAGAATCTTATCTCGCTGATAAAGTCATAACAAAGTGCAATAAATTGAATTGATAGTTTACAATAATAATAATAATAAAATGAAGCCCTATCAGATATAGAAAACCCTAAGGATGAGACAAAAAACAGGTAACACTACAAAGTTGTAAACATCAAAAACATATGATGCTAAAAATTTAGAAAAAAAAAATATACCTAGTTGTGAGGTCAACGTAGAGAACTTGTGTCAGATTCTTTGACACATTTTGTCAAACACCTAAGGTACATGTTCTAATAACCTATCTTTTGAATGTAACATGACAGAAAAATCCAATGTTATAGGAAAGTATATGAAATGAACTAAATAAACATGTATTTAAATTATGCAAATTATTTTGAATAATGTTCCTTCAAAAATATACTTATTGTTGTTTCATATCTACATACAAAGCTTAATAAAAAAATTTTAATTGTAGTTATGCAATTTGATTCTAACATATAAAAACGACCGCATAGAAAATTTAAGAATCAAATAAAAAATTTGTCTATAATACCGTAAATCTTATATTTAAGGAAATAAGATCATTCTTAATTTAGATGCTAACGTCTTAGCCTATTTTTGATATAGTTCATTTATTAATATGTAGGCAAGAATGTTTATATTAAGTGTTGTATATTGTTGTTACCAATAAAAAACTATGTTGTAGTTTAAAAAGTTTTTTTTTTCATGGTAAGTATGTTGCTATAATTTGTAAAAAAAATAACAGTTATTGTAGTTTATAGAGGTTGTTGAGGATCGAGTACAAGTTATTAGGTTAAGCATTTAATATGAAAAGATATACATCGTTGTTTTTGTTACTTAATGATGTACTATGTTAAGCCAAAAAAAACCTTATGCGATGTTTTATGAGATTTCAAAAATAGAAACATAATTTTCATAATCATAGAAAACAATCTTTGAAAAGTTGTATTTACTATACAGAAACATATATAAATTAGAATAATTATAGTTTAACCCTTTCTGGATTAAATTGTTTATAAAATTCATCACCTTAATAGTGAATAAAAAATAAATTAAAAGACATTTACAACACGAAAAAATCACAACATGTTATTGTTAAAAATATTGTTATAACAATGTACTTTACACGTACATTCCTAAAAATGGTTTAATATG